GCCGGGCGAGGTCGGGAAGGAGCAGGAAGGTCCTCAGGCAGAGGGGAGCCCCTCCCGGCCTGCCCTCTGCCCCTGATCCCTGGCGGGCGTGTCAGGCAGGCCTCAAGTTCCAAGGGCTGGGATCCCAGCTCCGCGGGACTGCCCCGTGGGGGCGAGGAGCAGCCCCCTGGGGTCTGCGGGCTGGGAGAGAACTGTGGCATGGGAGGGGAATGAGGGCGGCAGGGCCCTGGGCGCTTCCCCACCTGGACAGGCCATCTCCTTGGGGCCCCCACCAAGCCTCCTGTCCCGCCTCTCCTCCGCTCCAAGACTGCGCCCTCACCAGGCCGCACGGGGCCACTCCCGTCAGCGCTGAGTGGCGGGGCCTCCCCACTGCTCACCCAGGCTGGGAGTGGGGTGGGGTGGGCGGGAGCCCGCCTGCAGGTGGCTCACAAACCCGTCCTCCAGCCAGTGGAGGCACAGACTGCTCTCCACCATTCTGGGGTGGCCCGCTCCCCGGGCCTGAGAAGCCCTGACAGTTCCTCAGAAGCCCCCATGCAGCCCACCCTCCCTCAGAGCCCTGCCCTGACCGACCCACCCCAGTCAGAACCATGTGGGCATTTCAGATGGTGGGGTTTAACCCAAGGTGTTGGGAGGGTGGGGGAGCCCTGAGGACAGTCGGGCACCCCGGAGATTAAATGCCGCAGGAGGCCAGAGGAGCGAGGGGCGTCGTCACCCAGACTCCAGAGTGGCTGTGCCCCGCAGGCTGGGCTGCTGGCTGTGGGCGGTAGGCAGCGGTCCCCTCCGAGCACCTGGGCTCTGACCCAGCAGATGACACGGTGTCACTCACGCTGGAGCACCCAGCATAGCACCAGAACGCAGCAGAGGCTTTCCGAGGACAGCGAGTGTTCACGGAGGGCCCGGGCACCCAGCGGGAGCCACTCTGGTGCCTCGGCCTGAGGGGCTGGAGGTCAGAAGGTCCAGCAGAGGGAGGGCTGAACTTGAGCCCATCTGAGCAGCCAGGTGTGGAGGTGATGCGGAAGAGGTCCAGGTGGACGTGCCTGTGAAGAGCCAGGGGGGGCCCTGACCCCACGCCGCACCTGCGGGGGGCGGGAGGCTGGCGGGGAGGGGCCGCCCACACCCCTGCCGTGCTGCATCGCTCCGTCCTGGGCCAGGGGTCGCTGGGGCACCGAGGCCCCAGTGCGGACGCCATGTGGTCCAGAGGACAGCGGCTGGCACTGTGCACTGGGCTCGGGCAGCAGGATGCCCAGCAGCTTCGGCGCACAGCCTCACGTGCCAGCCCCACACTGGTGTCAGGGTGGCGGCGTGTGTCCCCAGCGCAGGGAGGTCGGTCCGAGGACAGGGTGTGGACGGGAAGTGGGGCAGGGGTGAGGCCCCAGGGGCGCAGGGGAGGGGTGGTGTGGCCAGGGCCCTACCTAGCAGACACCCAGAGGCGAGGGACCGTGGGGAGAGGCAGCGGGCTGGGGTGGTGGCTAGCTGCTTGTGGGTCCCCTGCCCCAGGGAGAGCAGAAAGGTTGAAATACAAAGGTCAGCGTCTGCTGGGGACAGACTGCGTGCCCTGAAGCATCAGAGCTGAAGGTCAGGGACTGTGTGACCCCACCCTGGGGGTAAAGAGCAGAGGGCAGCGGCCTTACTGTGTTTCCCGCGGAGAACCCAGTGTGGGCCTGAGCCAGCATCTGCTCCCCACCCCCCGCGTGGCTTCCATACTGCCATGCAGCGGCCAAGTCTCCCCCAGTCCCCCGAGGTCACCACCAGGGCCCGTCCCCACTCCCTGAGCAGGTAGGCATTTCCAGCACTGGGCCTGGCCATCCAGGACTGTGTGCAACCGGGAACCGTGGGTGGCCGGCTGGCCCCTCCAACCCAGCCCCTGCAGGGCGGCTCTGGTGGGCGTCACCGCTTGGCCTCCCCCAGGCCCCCCGGAATGTGGAGGGACACCCAGGCACTGCATGTCTGTGTCCTGTGCCCGTGGTCTGCCCTCGGCACAGCCACGGCGCCCGT